AAGCCAATTGTAGAATCAGCTTTTGTACTTCAGTTCCATTAAAGATATTTTATTTATATAAAAGGAAAAATCAAATAAACGTTATTCTTTTAGCAGTAGCTCTTCTTATTATAGCGATATGCATTTTCTAATTATGGCCACAGTTGTACTCATATGCTAGATGTCGATAGATCCTTATGCTACCGAAAGTACTAATTTTATCTATTATAAAATGTGAAGCAGTAATGGCACATAAACGGTAGAGAACGTCTCAACTCGTCACGTGACGAGTTGAACAAACAGCAAAAATCAGACCTTTCGTAACACCAAAAATAGGGATATCCAAAAATACAGGGATGTCGTAACGAAATTTACAGGACGATCGTAACGATTAATACAGGGAGTTCGTAACAGTTGCAGAGCTTTCGAAACGAAGCAACAGGGATTTCGTAATGAGGATGAGGGTGATAACTGAACTGAGTTTGCAGAAATTACATGCTTTTCGTTACAAAAGCTCTGTAATGGCACATATTAAAACACCAATTACGATCACCCTGTAAACTTTGTTACGAAACCCCTGATTTTTTGTTACGAAAGCCCTGATTTTGTCGTTACGAAAGCTCTGTCACGGGCTTTCGTACTGTCAATTCGTTACGAAAACCAGACAAGAAAAAACGTGACGAGTTGACACATTCCCAAACGGTATATGATGAAATTCCAGTTGGATCTTGAACTTATGAATACTAATTCATCATGTTATCAGATTTATAAATACAGAATGACGTCTTCTAATTGGAATCAACCATCTGCAATCCATTGTACAGTTAATACACACATATGAATTTTCTGTCCATTGTCGATTCACGTGAATCTAACGAATAACCGAATAACCGAATATCATAGTATATATATATATAAAATACGTCATCGTTTCCATATAAAAATGAATTTCCAATACATTCTCACCCAACCCAACCCAACCCAACCCGACCCAACCCAACCCAACCCAACCCAACCTAACCCAACCCAACCCAACCCAACCCAACCCATCCCAACCCATGACTGAATATTATAGTACTCCTAGAATACCATTTCCATATAAAAATGAATTTCCAATACATTCTCACCCAACCCAGCCAAACCCAAGGTTTTTAAGTATATATTTATATCATTACAAATATTAATATGAATTTCACAATAGAATAAACTTTGTTCAATTTTAAAGTATAATCTCTATTGGTTTGTATTTATATACTATATCTTTATAAGCATATTTCAATTACGTTCTTTTATCAAACTGTAGTTTAGAAAAAAGATATAGTTATATCTTTATTTATCGTACAAGATATTTTTATGTCTTAATAAAGAATGAAGTGTTATGTTAAAATTTTCGAATTTCCAGGAAATTTATTTTATAAGTATTTTATTTGAATTTCCTGGAAATGGAAATTTTCCACGCCCTTGCTTTTTTGACCTTGCGACAAACTGACACACATACACAAACGCATTTTACTTTATTTCATATGACCCTCCATCAAGGGGGAAAAAGCAAGACTCCACCGTACTTCACTTGCACTTTCTCTGTAATCATTCGTACTTCCATGTACTTCACTTGTATTTCCATTTGTACTTCACTCATACTTCACTTTACTTCACTCCATTTCACTTGTGCTTCACTTTTACTTCACTCAAATTTCACTGTACTTCAAGCACAATTTTGAAGTACGAGTGAAGTACGGCGAAGTACGCGTGAAGTACGAGTGAAGTACGGTGAAGTACGTGAAGTACTGAAGTCTCACTTTTCCTCCTTACTCTCCCTAAAGTTCAGGAAATATCATTATTTTCTCAAAAAACCCTTTCCCCAACCCAACAAAACTCAATTCAAAATTTTGAAAAATTAACTTTAGATTCGGATTCTCCGACCCCGATTTGCTTTCGTCAATCTTTATAAAATATCATTATTTTCTCAAAAAACCCCTTCCCCAATCCAACAAAACTCAATTGAAAATTTTGAAAAATTAACTTTAGATTTGGATTCTCCGCCCCCGATTTGCTTTCGTCAACCTTTATAAAAGAAATTTATCATTGATGTTTTTTTGACCTCAAGCAAACAAACAAACAAGCGCATTTTATTTCGTATGACCCTCCTTTCAGTCGAGGGAATGAACAAGATTATTCATTGAATCATCATACTACATTGCATCGTATTATAACTTGTTTATCCGTTCAAACATATAAAAAAAATGTGAAATAATATGTTAGTTACATGCGACATCTAATTGTTCTATGAAAAATATCTGTTTTATAAGTCTCACCGAAAAAATTTACAAATAAAAATAAAAATTAAATCGACGTTTTTGGACTGAATCGATCCGAAAAATTGTTTAACGCTACCGGCCGTGACCCACTGACTTTTTTCAAAATGTCCTGCTGAAACGATTTCGGTTACGACCGATCGATTCGACTCGGTCAAAAAACCGAACCGGTCCCATCTCTGTTAATTATTTTTTAGAAGACGACGGAAATGGATAAGGAATGTGCTTTCTCATTCTCTTTCTGCATGCAGCGTAATTGAAAAATTTTCGATCACGATTTCAATCTGATTCCAATACCGTGTGATTAGAAAATTCTTCCGTGATCGTGAACGGGATGATAATTGAAGGGCGCATACTTGATTCTGATGGTTTCTCTTTTCTCACCTAACTTTCCCGGAGATTCGGATGAACGCTGGAGAAAGTGCGCAAGAATTCTTCGTCCTATCTAGTTTCTTTCAGTCATCACGTCATGAGAAGTCAGGGAATTTTAAAATTTCTTTCTTAAAGTTTGGTTATTCAATTGTAAACGAGAGCATTCAAAATGATATGATTTTAGGATACAGCAGTATGAAGCATACCCGTGTTCATGACTCATCGGATGACTTTGTTTGCCATCGTGAACGTCAATGTGATGAAAAATCTTCATCATACAGTACACTAATCCTTTTGCTTGTGCTCAACCAATAAAACTGTTTTTATTTTTTCACATTGACAAAATTTTCTTTAATATCTTGTTGTAATGCAGCGAGAAATTTTTGTTTTATAATTTTTTCAATACGAAACGCTACTTCTGCTCCTTCACGGTCCCTTCCTACCCATTGGGTACCATCGTAAGTTGGATTCAAACGAAATATGCGCAAAAATAAGTTCTTTGTCCACTCCGTATAAAAGCGACACTTGTCAGTATGACCAAGATCAACGAGACTCGCCCAGTCATAGCGAAAATTAGAATTAACCACAATTCCATTTGTGAAATTATCAGCATTCATTCTAAGATCATCACGGACCATATCTCTAAGAAATTTATCTTCAGTTGGCAGCCAACGCTCAAGAAATTCTGGACTTCTGGAATGGATAATCAGACGGCGGATTGATTTTGCAATATTTGACAGAGAGTACGGATCTTCGAATGTGCCAGACCATGTTCTCAAATGACAATTAGCAAATAGATTAGAAGGAGCGATAGAATCAGATACACCATGATAGTTAACAACTATACTAATATTCAAAATAATTTGTTTGTCATTTGAAAAACAATGAGTGTTCAGTGTCATAATGATATAAGCAATCATGACATCATGTGTAGTCAGAGTACTATCAGGAACTAGTCTACGTAAACTGGTGAGTTGTTCACCTGAGAAGTGTAAGTTTAATTGATCATGCGTTACTTCTTCAGTGCTATTAGCTTTGAGCCATTTCTCAGTCGGTATACTATCGGTCAGATGCTTCATGGCTGGTAAAAGTGATTGATCAACTTCGTCTTTACACCATAAACGGCGTTCAAATATAGGTAATGGTTTCAGGGGCTCCAGATGTTGATAGAAACGTGATAAAGTATGCAGAAAATTAGCGCAAGTATAGGCATCACCAAGAACATGTGACCAACTTGTGCCCATAACCCACTCACCACTTTGTACGATATGAGTAACTTTCAAACGAAAAAGAGGTTCATTTGGATAATTAAAAATCATTTTTACACTTGGTACTTCATCGAGATATGTGACAAGTTGACTTTCACCACTATCACGCACTACTTTCGAATCGAGAGGCCACTTGTTTAGCTCAATATTGTTGATTAAGGTTACTGGAATAGTGTTGTTAGACATCTCAATAAAGTAATGTTCATTGTCGACTGAAACACAACGACCAGCGACAAGAGGCCATAATGAGAGACTGCGAGAGAGTGCGTCGTTAAGCTGGTTTATATTTAAATCAGAAGGATAGACGAATATATTATTTATACAAGGAGCAATCCGTAAATCAATACCAGCAAGCTCAATTCGACGACTATTTTCCGTCTGTGATGATGGATAAATAAGCCAAGATCTCATGTTTAAATCTAAAAAGTTAGAATGATATAATAATCATAATTTTTATTATAATAATAGTTCCCATAGGCTTATTGCACATTGGGGCCGCGTGCGTTCGGGCTCTCTCGTCTTTTTTATATGGACGGCGATATCGACACTCATTTTCGTCAAACATTTTCCTATTTTCAGGAAACCAATCATCCTAGTGGGTCATAATCTTGTGACAACTATGTTGAAGTTCTTTTTAATTCTCTATATCAACTAATAGTAATTTAGTCACTAGATTATCAAATAAATCATCTGAAACAATCACCTATTAGTGGCTTGTCCATGGTCATTCCATGGTGAGTGATACTAAGGTTTAAACACAGTATCTTGTGGATACATGTTGAACAATATAACCACTTAACCATAGTAACTAAAGACTAATATAACATATTATTTTCTATGATGAACCAGATCACAACAAGACTTACATATATCTGCCTTTTTTTTGTCCTTTATGTATAAGCGACTGTTTTATCTCGTGAGCTATTCTGAAAAAACATCGATTACTGAACGTTTCGCTTATACACTATGAAAAGTTGTTACTATTGAGCATTATTTTACATAGATGAAACAGATCTAAATAGTTATTTTATTACCCAAGTAACTTACTTTAACATAGATTCTTTTGATCATTCTCCTCTGTTAAAAATGCGCACATAGCGAATAATGTATTAGGCAGAATTGAACTAAAGATAGAATTCTTTGTTGAAAATATTAGATATGATTTTGTCTAGTCAAAATTAGCTCTGTACATAACTGAGATTAATGAAAAGATTGATATAGAGGCTTCGGCATTCTTCGTTAACTTTTTAAATATGAATTTGTATTTTTTTTCCATGATGGGGACATGGGGACATTGATTATTGGTTAAATTTTATTATGAGTAAAATAATTTTTTATCTATAGCACCTGTATGCCCTGTTTTGATGAAAACGGATTGACTTAGGGTTAGTGTCTAAAAGAATCGAATGTTTCTCGAGCAAACGATGAAAATGGGTTGATAGGTACGTCTTCAGAATACGAACATCCCTTCACCCACACTGGTTGTCGTGTCAGCCAATGTGTGCATAGGGTAGGCGTATTCTGAAATAGAAACAGTTGAGACAGGGTGACTGTCTAAAAGAAAGGAAATTTTCTACGACACGCTGTGGGTTGTCTGATAAACATCGTATATGTCTTCGTTAGAGAGGAGCGGGTCCAGGTTTTTATGGACCCGGACCCGGACCCAGACCCGGAAAGCAAAATTCTCGGACCCGGACCCAGACCCGGACCCGGGTGGTAT